CATGTGTATAGAAACTTTTTATTCTGTTTCTGTGGAGAACCCTAATACAAACCCACTTTGAAGAATAATTTAGCAATATCTGAAAAAGCTGAAGACTAGGTCTGGAAAAGTTGAAGATGCACACAGCCAATTTTAGTTCTTTCAGGTGTGTAGCCTGCAGTTCCTCAAAGGGAGAGAATGGGCGTATTGATCATGAGGTGTGGAATGGGATGGGGGAGTGGAACTTCAATATGTTAAAGATGAGCATGGGGTTAGGGGAAGCAAATATGGCAAAATTTGGTTAAAATGTGTTGAATCAGAGATGGAGTGGGTTTCATGTTGCCATCCTATTTTCTATACTTTTTCTGTATGTTTGAAACATTCCATGACCCTAATAAAAACAATTTTAAAGTAATTTCTGCTAAACATGGTTTTGATGGAAGTGGCCCAGACCAGTAGGCCAAACTCAGCAAGCTCAACGTGGAAAAGACAGACAGTGTGCTCAGCAGAAAGCAGGCATAGATGAGGAGTGGGTTTAAGGAGAAAGTGAATAACACTCAAGAGAACCCCAAGACTTTCAGAAGTCCCTTCATGCACAGAACTTCCTTTGATTTCAAAGATGGCATGTTCATTATTAACTGTAAAGGAGAGAATACATGTCTGCAAGATTAACGTGAGATCCACCATACATCTCTGAGCATGTTAACCTTCATCACTTGGCTAACATCGTGTTTACCAGGTTTCTCCACTGTAAAGTTATCATTTCCTCTTTTCTTTTTTTTTTGATTAATGTGAGTTTATTACCTGGATTTTCTTTTATTTTTTTATTTTTTTATTTTTGTATCATTAATATACAATCACATTAGCAACAGTGTGATTACTAGATTTCCATCATTATCAAGTCCTCACCACATACCCCATTACAGTCACTGTCCATCAGCATAGTAAGATGCTATAGAATCAGTACTTGTCTTCTCTGTGCTATACTGCATTCCCTGTGTACCCCCATCCCCATTATGTGTGCTAATTGTAATGCCCTATATTCCCCTTCTCCCTCCCTTCCCACCCACCCTCCCCAATCCCTTTCCCTTTGGTAACTGTTGGTCCATTCTCGGGTTCTGTGAGTCTGCTGCTGTTTT